GGAGACCCTGCTCAAGTGTCCCCGTGAAGGTGTGCACTGGGGAGAGCGTATTGTGAGTGTTGTCATCCCCCCTCCATGAGGGTGTCGCCCCCCCCCATGAGGGTGTGCAATTGGGGAGACCCTGCTCGAGCATTCCTACAGAAATGCCAAACAGACTGAGAAATCACCATCATGTTACACAATCACCGCAATATTTTTATTACCAAACAATAATGATATGCGTGTAACAGAGCTTCAAGCTTCTGTTTCCTAGCTTTTGATGACATCTCCATAATATTAGATGAAATAATGAGGATGCACGATAATGCTGAAAAAGCCACAATATGGACAAAAAAATAAAAACAGCAATACCAACAGAAAACAAGTCCCTAAAACAACAGAAAAAAAAAGCAGAGGTAAAGAAACAGAAAAACAATAAGGCATATATCCAAGCATTTCAATGTTTGCGGTAAGTGTAAATTGTCCAGTTGCACAGATTATCAGAATTTTTTTTAAAGTTACAGCTAGTGATGTGTGTGTGTGTGTGTGTGTGTGTGTGTGTGTGTGTGTGTGTGTGTGTTCAGTCCAAGTGTAGGGTGCAGATTTAAAGTCATAGGCTGGAAAAAGTAGACCATGCATAGTGGAAGCCCTCCAGCAAAGTTGGGGTAGTGCCCGCACAGGTGCTATAGTAGACCTCAGAGCAATAGAAAACAGAGCCGGAATGTGCTCCAGCTAGTCACGTGCCCTGGCTGGTTCCACAGATGTCCCACTGGGGACAGCCAGACTACTGCAGGTTGAAAAGTGAACCGATCTTGATAAGTTACTAAACACTCCGATAAACTGAAAAGGAAGACAGAGGCACCAGCCTTAGATAGAAAAAATACGGTGAAAGAATTCTCAAGTCTTAATAGGAGAATGAATGCTACAGTTACATACGTGTAACCTCAACTGAGAAAGGAAAGGGCTGCTGAGCAAGCCTCGGGCACTGCTAAAGCTCATCCGTGATGGAGCAAAGGACCTGAATAAGCGTATATAAAACAGAAATTCAGTAAATAAATAAAGCCCTCTGAGAAGGAAATGTCCAAGTCCTGGTGGTTTTGAAAGTGAGTTCTATCTAAACATTTAAAGAACAAATAATAGCAATCAGATGAGTTTTACATTTTTCTACCTTTTTGAAAACAGATTTTTGCCTCAGACTTACTTGTAAAAACACCATTGCGCCCTGACCATCTGCAGTGTGTAGGTGGGTCACACCCATCCGTCCGTCTTCACAGTGCCACACAGAAGCTTCTTCTGTGGGACCTTCCCAGGACTCCGGGCACCTTTGGGAGCCTCAACTGGAGCTGCAGCCTCACCCTTGGTTTTGAGTCTTGGGCTTTAGTGTCAGAGCCTGAAACCCTTGACCCTGTAGCCTGAAATCTGCTTCCCAGGCATGGGCTGAGTGAAGAAGGCAAGATGGCTGAGTTTGTACTGGGGCCCTTCAGCATCTTGGGCTTACCTGGTTGGCTTGGACTTCCCAGGGACCTCAGTGGCTCCTCACACGCACTGACTGCCTTCACGTTGCTTGCCTGCCCCTCCTTCATGTCCTTCTTCCGTGCTTCTCGGCAAAGCACATTCTCCTCAGGAACTCCCAGGGGATTCCTGTTTCTGGGACCGGGGTTTCTATTCCTATTGTTGGCTATGTCTGTGCTGTTTTGGGGATTGCTTATGTGTGGTGTGGGTCTTCTCCATGTTTGCATGGTAATTTGTTCATCACGCAGCACCTGAGACTTTTGGAACAGTGTGCTAAGCACTGTAGCCAGGGTCTCACTTGTGTTCAACAAGCGCTCACCTCAGCCCCAGAATTTTAAAACACTGAATAAGAGGAGGCCGTTCCAGCAGGAGCTTGACATGAAAACCAAAGGGGAAACAAGAAACCCAGGTCAGCACTTGGAGGGTCAAGGCAGGGGGGTCATGACTCGGAGACAAACCTGGGTTGCAGAATGAGGTTGAGATCAATGCGAACTACACACACACACACACACACACACACACACACACACACGGTAAATTTCACGTGAACATAGCTACTAAAATCCCCAACTAAGCACAGTGAACTAAAACAAAATGGTGAATTAAAACTTAATTTAAATTGAATGAAAATTAAAATTATTTGCAGCGTAATCTATGCATTTAAATTTTTAAGGAGGGGCTGGCAAAAAAAAAGCTCAGTGATGGAGCACTCGCTTAGCTTGTATGACTCCCTAGGTTCTTACCAAACTTGCCACACAGCACAACAAAATCCAAAAATTCCCAACCAAACAAACAGCAGTCTTAAGGAACAAAGCCACGTGCTAAGGTCAGTCAAGGTGCAAAAATCAGAGAAATGGAATAGAGCAGAGCTTGGGCTTCAGCAAAGGGAGACACACCTGTGGTGTGAAAGAAACCTTCCCCGAGGAGGGCATGGCTTGTGGCAGGAGGATCGGATCTGTAAGCCAGAAAGCCTCGCTTTAGATCACAATTGTTATGCCCAGTTCCTGGAAACTCCAAAAGACCACCAGGGAGACCAACTCACCAAAATGCAAAAGCAAGGTTTATTGTGTGCACCTTACAAGCCGGTAGGGACCTCCTCATCAGCACAGTACCTAGAGGCAGTCCCCCGCCCGTCTAGAGGGCGTTACTTGAAGGCTAAACCCAGAAAAGTTACATTAGCAGGGTGTGTGCTGGCAGGTGATCCTGTCTACAACGATTGGAAGGTTAGGAATTTCCTTTGGGTGAGGATGGTCTGCTCCTGAGTGGTGCCGGGGTGGTCTCAGTTTGTGGTCTTCTTATAATCAGGTATTTCCTTAGGGGAAACTACTGAGACCCAGGCCTTTGTTGAGCTTGTCATGATGGTTGGGTACTACAACAATATGTAAAGGATTCGGAAAACCTAGTAACAGTTTTTTAAAAGTTTAATTTTTAAAGGGTTCCAGAGAGATGGCACAGGATGACTCAGGGTTAAGAGCATTTGTTCTTGCAAAGGACCCAGGTTTGGTTCCCAGGGCCCACATGGTTCACAAGGCTTGTCACTAAGGGTTGAGGAATCCAGGGTCCTCTTCAGGCTCCATGGGCCAGGTGCGCATGCACCTAAAACAGACATTTAAACCAAAGTAAAACTTTGAAAACATGGACAAGCCCAAATTAACACGGCATTTAATCTCTCTTACTACCTGTGTAACAGATTCAGTCAGACTTATCAGCAGGCTATCCGGGGGTAAGGGTGGAGGTGGGGAGGGATGGGGAGGTGGTGGTGGTGGGTGTTGGGGCAGGGTCGGGGAGGGGAGGCTGGCACCCTACATCGCTTTCCTACTGGAAAATTTTCTTCCTTTCTTTCCTTCTTTCTTTTTCTTTTTTTGTTTGTTTGTTTTTCGAGACAGGGTTTCTCTGTGGAGTCCTAGCTCTGTAAACCAGGCTGCCCTCAAACTTGAGGAGATCCACCTGCCTCCCAAGTGCTGGGATTAAAGGCATGTGCCACCACTGTGGCCCTACTGAAAAATTTAGAAGACTATGTCAAACATCTCATATTTATTGACATATTTAACTATTTGAGCATTTTATTCCATGTTAATTTAATTTCAGACTGAAGGAATCATTAAATTGTTTTTCCATTATTATAAGATTCCTTAATAAAATATTTTCTTATACATTAGGATTGGGTAGAAACACATTCAAATAAATTCACTGGGTATTTTTAACCTGTATGTGAAAATTTAAGACTTACTTTTCTGAAAGAATTATAATAAATGATTCTCAAATAGTGGTCAGGATCATTTGGAATGTTTGCTTTGCTTTTAGGATGCTGGGGTGGAACCTAAGACCTGGCACAGGCTAGCCCAGTCCTCCACCTTTGGGCCACACCTTAGTTCTGGTCTGTTCTGAACAGCAGTGATGACTTGCTCTCCCCTTCTGTATTTTCATGACAATCATTTAAATGGTTCTCCATGAAGTACAATGTAGACTTTGTTCTGCACTCAAATTCTTTTTCCACTTCAGAAGAGATTTTAGAGGATTAACGCAGAATTAATGAATACAGAAAGACAAAAGTGTGATTATGTACTCTGACAGAATTGTGTGGACAGGAAAACATGCTCTCCCATCAAGTCATTTAAGCTATTGAAAGGAGAGAAGGGCCCGATGTGTGGCTCACACCTGCCGGCCCTGCATTAGGTAGGCAGGGATAGGAAGACCGTCTTGACCTCAGTGTCAGTATGGGCTATATAGGAAGTTCTTGGGCGACCTGAGCTACAGAGTACTGAGATCTTGTCCAAAAAAATCAAGCCAAAATTACAACCAAAAGAAAAATCTACTTTAAAAAGAGAAAGAGGAAACACAGACTGGTAGAACACAGCTCGGCTTTGTGTGAGGTTGTGAAACCACACGCCTCCACGAGGCTTTCCTCTAGCCTTCTCTTGTGCTAGGCTATTCTTGTGTAGGAAGACCCCAGAATGGAATATTTTGTGCCAAATTTTAAATATTAATATATAACTCCGAACAAAACTAATCTAAAAAGACCCTACGGGCAGTAAGTGTGGTAGAAAGCAGTGCTGGGGTCTGTGTCAAGATGGCCGCTTGTCCTTCCCCAGAGGAGCTGCATGCAGCGCAGGAAGGAAGTCCGAGTGCAGTACCGACCGTCTCTGTTCCAGCACGTGGGCATTCACTCATCGTTTCCCGGACGAAAACAGCACCTCAAGGTAAGATTCTGGCTCAGTGGGTAAGAGCACTGGCTGTTCTCCCAGAGGATCCGGGTTCAATTCCCAGCACCCACATGGCAGCTCACAACTGTCTGTAACTCCTGCTCCAGGGGATCTGACACCTTCACACAAACATATAGGCAGGCAAAACACCAATGTATATAAAATAAATAAATCCTTAAAAAATGATTCTGAGATAGAACTTGAGTAACATAGCTGAACGTAGAAGTCTTTAGAAAGGAGGAGGTCACGGCAGTGAGAGCATGCCTGTCATCGTGAAGTTTATAGAGCTGTCTTCCAAGAACCCAAGTCATCTACGAGGGTAAAAAAACAACACAGCAGCTGTCACTCTTTTAGTCTAAAAATAAACATTATTAGCAAGACTATTTCAGAAATGGAGACCCTTGTGAATGCAATCAGTATGTTTATTTAAATAACTATTGACCAGATGAAAAAAATCAGCATCATGTAGTGTTAGTAATTCTTACATTTCACCCCAGTTTTGGAAACAATGTTGTCACTGTGGCAGGATGCCTGAAACAACCAACTTAACCCCAGGGTAAGGTTTGTCTTGGCTCACAGTTCCAGCGGGGTCAGTCCAGGCTTGCTCAGCACTCTTGCTTTGGGTCCATGGTGCAGACATGTCATGGTGCAAATACACAGCAGAAAAACTGAGCACAGAAGAAAGGGTCTGTGTCACAAGTACACTTCCCCCGGAGCCAAAATTCTTCCCCTTGGGTTCCATCACTTAAAGGTTTCACAACTCTAGCTGCCAGAGCCCGGTGACCAAAGCTTCACACCGACAAGTATTTTGAAATCCCTTGTAGTGGGTTTCTCCACCGATGCAATAAGTCAAATCAAGCTGAATAAACCAATAATACCAGGTTTAATCTGAGCAAAGCAACTTCAAGTGACTCCCAGAGAAAGGAAGCAGGAGAGAAATACCCTGTAGGCATGGTCTTGAGGAGCTCAGGGGAGGAACCCACCCTTGGCAGCTTTCTGAGAGGGCGGGGGTTGGAATGGGAGGAGAGGGGTTGAGTTCCCAGGCCAATGTTCGGAAAGGGGCCTGAGCAGGAGGTTCCCAACACACACGTGTACTTTTGGGTATCTAGATGGCTAGAAGAAAGCAACAGGTCAGGTTGAGGTTCTAAATAGGAGGAGTTTAGTCCTGGGTGGGGGCACACTTTGCTTCCTCCATATGTAAAATCAAGAATTTAAATCATCCAGAAGACTCCTTACCACATGGTACCACTGAAACACCATCAAATGCCTGAAGGGAAGCGGCAGGCGCAAGAGAAACTTGTCTCCGCAATCTCATTGGGGGTGGGCTTGTAACAGGATTCTTTTCTCACGTTATGTATTTAGTCTGGTAAAATATTTTAATCTAGTTGAGCAGAGGCGGCGCACACCTTTAATCCCAGCAGAGGCAGGTGAATCTCTGAGTGCATCACCATCCTGGTCTACAGAGCGAATTCTAGGGCAGTCAGGGCTGCACAGATAAATCCTGTCTCAGAAAAGAGAAAGGAAGGAAGGAAGGAAGGAAGGAAGGAAGGAAGGAAGGAAGGAAG